TATATATATATATTTGTTTTTACATTTCCATACTGTTTGTTACAGACGCAGCCAATGACTGTAAGTTATTTCATTAATTTTCCTTCCTAGTGCAAAAGTAAAGTGTGGTAAATGCACAACACATTACACAATAAAAATTACAAAAAAGAATAAAAGATCAGAGAGATTAACAAAAAAAATAAGAAAAAGAAGAAATTTTTTCAAATCTAATAACATAATGAAAAAATATTAAAAAAAACTTTAATAAAAATTCGGTAAAAAAAAATATTATCTCCTCATCAGCTCACACGATTTTATCCACGATTTTATCCACACGATTTTACCTCACACGATTTTATCCACCATTAGATGTTTTATTATCTTATTTTAATTTATTTTAATAATTTTTTTCTTCTCATTTCATTATTCTGTAATTTTAATGATTACACACAAATATAATAATATACAAATATTTTAATATATAATGATTACATATAAATTAAATACAAATATTCTAGAATTTTTAAGTGCAACTTGAAGTTCCCAGTTATACTGGAAATAGACTATTATTTTCAAAACGGAGTTTGTATTAAAAAAAATAAATTCTACCCATTTATTAATTTTATTATTTTTTTTATTTCAGTGTTAGGTTTCTTGGGTGGTTAGGGTGGAGCAGGTGGATCCAAAGAAGAGTAATTATTTACTTTATTTTAGTTACCTGTTTTTAAAAAAAAAATTGCTATTTTTTTACGAAATTATTTCAATTTATTTTTCTTGTGACGTCTGTATTAAATGCTTACTGGTGTTCAAATTTATTTCTAATAGAAAAGGCAACATTAAAAAATTTCAATGAGATGGATGTAATAAGATGATTAATTATAAATCAGTTCGAAACACTGTTTACGTAATATATTCTACAATTCATTTTTATAAATTCATTACAATATAAGGAGTTTTTTCGTTCCATTTTCAATTTTCTTTTTTATTAACTAATACCTAAGTAGCTTCATATATAAAATTGTTTAAATCTTCATTTTAATTATAAATGAGCCCTTTAGTTCGAAATATAAATATTACTCAATGTAAAAAAAAAAAAACACGATTGTCTAGGAAAAAATTAACTAATTTTTGGAAGTTTACTGGTAACCAAATTCATTCAACTTTGCTGGGTAAAATTCAGTACATACAGTAATGATGATATGAATTGCGTTTTTCTACTAAAATTTTGATATAGAATTGAATGAATACAGTAAAGTTTATTTATTGAGATACATATAGGAATTTAAAAACCAAGGAAATTAGTTAAGGAAATTCACAATTATGAATCTATTATATGATAAATAAAAGAAAGCATGAACCAACTAGTGGTATCCATTCATCGAATTCTATCACAGATAAAATTCTGGAAGAGGAGTAATGTGGTGTAACTACCACTATAAATATTGAATACCAATTCACTAGTATATAAGACATGTTAACTTGATTCTATCTTGAGGTACCTTTTGATAGATGAAGGTTGACATGGTCGATAATAATTAATCCCCCTCATATTAAATTATCTGCATGTGTGAACGTATTTAAAATATTTATTCCATTTATGATATTTATTCTGTTCATTATATTTACTGTAGACAATCGGCAACAGAAAGCTGAATCTAAGAAGGATTAATCAACAAGCCTGAAGACTTATTATTGATAATTTAAATATATATATATATATACTAGTGTTTCACAATAAAAAATAATTATAAATTTTTTTTTGTTTTCCTTGTATTGCTAAAACGTTTTAACAGAATGTACTATTTTTTTTGAAGATCCGGAATCTTTATCTGTAGCTTAAAGTGAAAAAAAAAATAATAATTTACATTGAATACAAAAAAAAAAGATTTACATTAAGGATTATCTTACATTGTAAGATATAATTTAGAGTATGGATTTTCAAATAATTTTGTCTGCTTCTTAGTGAACATGATAAGCATAAACCGCCATATTTTCATTATTTATTTATCCGAAGCTATTACAAAAATTACAATAAACCATACAAAAATATTATAAAATATAAACGAAAGTTTTTTTTAAAAACTTTTGATGTTAGACTCGTTTGTGTCTTTCAAACAACTTTTCTGCAATTAAGTTTCACCACACATTTTGCAGTTCTTCATTTTCAATTCTCTTAGTAATTTTTGTCATTTATTGCTCATGAACGTTGTCCAGAGTTCGAGCTTGTCATGTAATCTTTAATCAAATGGTCACCAAATTATTCGACTGTACATCAAGTAAGCTATTTTTATAAGGTTATATCAAATACTTTGTTTATATATCATCGAAAACAGAAAACGCAGCAAGATTTTAAAAAATGCATTTTAATGCAATATTTTAAAATCCATTCTCGAGCGAGATTTTTAAAAAATAAACATACAGGCCATGTGAAACAACAAAATTATTTAAACAAATTTAATTACAAATAAGATGTGTGATTTGTTTAAAAACTCAGAGAAAGAAATTCTAGTAAAATTACCAAACTATATGGTTATAAAATTTCCGATGAAAAATAAACGTAATTTTTATTAATCTAACCAAAAATGTAAGGAATTTAAATCATTCATTTGCTGATTTTTCGGTTTCTATTAAAATGGTTTACTCAAACTTCTGGTTTTCAAAATTAAAGTTCTAATTACCACACATTTAGCAAAAAATACAAAACTGAAAGGTAAATTTAACCGAATAAATGATTTCTTATGTCACGCTCTAAGGTATCATGATTAAAGTACCAAATTCTACCATATTTAGAATTTTATTACTCATTATTAAACCACTATTTATTGTTAATTTCACCGAAATCATAACCGAAGCACTTCGGTAAAAATTACCAAGCTTTTTAGTATTCCTATTGCTCCAGTATATTTTATCATATTTTGTATTTTTGACCGGATCACACATCAAGAATTTGCATCGAAAAACAAGGCAAAAAACAACATGTTTTGTATGCTCTTCTTTAATTTCGTAAGTCAACTATGTTATTAATCGGTGCTGTAATTTTGAAAATTTAAATATTTAAAGTCCTGTCGTTTTTTCTTTTTACCCTATATGGTTCTGAGAAAATCAAGATGAGATTTTACGAATTTAGAATTTCGTAACTAAATTAAACATTTAATTTGCGGGAAGTTTTTAATTAATACACCTTCCCCAAAAATATTGAAAAAATTATTTTCTATTCGTAAAATGGACAAAAGTCAAGTTCATACAAAGTAAAATCATTAAATTTTCCACCATTTTTCTCTAAATCTATAATTAGTTGAACATAAATTGGAGCTATATGATTTTGAAGGGAATTGATAATAAAAAAAAACTATTAATGCCTCTTTATTTAATAATTCATCGATTATATTCATGATTACATTCAATGTTCAAATAAGCGTTCAACTTTTAATATATAATGATTAATTCAAATCTAAATAAAACTTTTAGGGAAGAAAAGTTTATATTTTGGAAGGTTGTACATATTTTTTATGATTAGCTATGTTTTAATTATCAGAACAGATATCAACAGAAGCACTGAATGGTGCATCACGAAATAGAAAATTTGAGAGAACTGTAGACCGTCCTTAAAGAGATCGTCCTTAAACTTTGTTTTGAACACTCATAGTTTATTGACGGAAAATCATATATATATTAGTTATCGGTTTTTCATTTTCAATTATAAACCTTTTTTTTCAGTTTAAAATGGTTTAAATAGAAGCTCTGATCCCCCAAAATTTTTTCTTACTCACATTTCTATAAGAACTGCGACGAATTCATCTAAAGCTACTTGAATCACATCTTTACAGGTTGCATTGGAACACGTGCTTTAAACTGCCTCAAGCTAACACTGTAAAAGATTTTGAATGAAATTAGAATAAAAAATCCCAGCATTCAGGGTGACGGTCCTTTTCATAGTGAAGTCCATTTTTACTGGAACATGCTAAGGAACAAAAATCTGATATACCGTAATTTTTACTACAATTATTACCGCAAAATCTCTCTAAAGAAATGAATATTACTGTAAAATTAACGGTAAAAATTTATTTCACGGATGATGCATTTAAAATTGTTGGTACTTAATACCGGAATTTGATCCGGAATTTTTAACAATGCAGATGTTTATTAGAAGTAGCTAATTACAATAGATAACATAAAATTGGACGTAAAATTGATTAAAAGAGCACACATAGAATAGAATACCAGTGGATTAAATTCAGAGTTCTTTCATTTTTTTAAACCTAACCTAAAACTTAAACTTGAACTCAAAACTTAAATGTCTTAAAAGGGAAAAAAGAATATCCGTATCAATTAAACTGACCATATCTGTGAAAAGAGCAAGGAGGATGCCCAGACATACCTTTTTATCAACAAACTTGAGGGAGTCCTCAAATGTTACATATTGCGTTGGAAAAATCAAGATATATTTCCAAGAAAATGAAAAGAGCGATTCCGAAGAGTCAAAACGTAAATAAAAAGAAATAAAAATTATACATTCAAAAAATATCTTCCCCTTTATTAATCTATGTTAGATAACTTTTTTAACAAGATAAAAAAAATATCAGAAAAAAGTTTGAAGTAATGTCTGACTAAAAAGCCAGTAAGGAATTCACAAATTTCGGAATTAAACTTCTTTTAATATTTATAATTCTATTTTAAAATTACACATGGTATGATTTGTCCAAAAAAATATGTAATTTTTTGCCCGCTAAATTTAGAAAAAAAAGCAATGCGCAAGACACCACTTAATATCCACAAGTAGAAAATATTTTTAGAATTAAACTCCAAGTGGATTTTTTATATGGACTCTATCAATATTAGGCTGCTTTTCTAAAAAACCAACCTATAGATTTTGAAAATATTTACATAAAAAAGTGAAGTTATAAAAAACAATTATTCATTATATTTTTTTCTATGCATGTGTTTCTATCGTAATAAGTAAGGACGTTTTCCTCAAAATATATAAAATCATTTTACAATAAATTGCGAAATTATGTATAGTTTAAATAAAATGTTTAAATTACCACTTTAAAGATGGAAACGCTTATAAAGTTTTCTTTTCAAATTATTAAGAAATTCTGATAAGCAACTTTTTAATTAACCTTTTAAGCATCTACTGCATTACTACATAACTAGCTGAATACCCGTTTTTGTAAAGTTAAAAAGAGGTAATAAAACAAAATAATCAACACTACGAAATCATGCATGCACAAAACTGAAAATCGTATACTGGCATTGAAAATCATACATTGGTTGCCCTTCCCGGTGGTTTTACGTTATTAGATCAAGCTACCTTCGGTTTCAGAAATTCACTCCATCTGAATAAATATTAATTATTTTTAGAATCACTCGGCATTAATAATATTGCTTGAGGTCAACTCATGATATTAAAATTGCACCCCAATCAAAACATTTTCCCCGATAATTATACTTTTTATGATACCCCTGATCTCAGCAGTATATACATAAATATATGTAGTATCTAGTAAAACCGCATCAGTCACTTGCAATATTTATTATCTAACTTAAATATGCATCATTCGCAATAACTATAATATGGTCTTTATTTTAAGTGTAGTATAAAATACATAAATGTATATAAATTTCATAGGTATCTTTTATATATGACTTGTACCCAAAGTCTTATAAATTCCATTTGCTTCACAAATCTTTAAAAAAATGGCATGATAAAAATAAATGCAAATAAATTCTTCTGATGCTCACATTCAGAGACTATTCAGTTTCGAAATCTACCTAAAGATTGCGCAGGAAATTTCTTTTGAGTTATGAAGATCAGAAAGACGAACAGCGATTAGAACAACAACACTTCCAAGAGCGAAGATCACTAATTCGGGATCCTGAAAAGAATATTCTAAAACATACAAGAAACTTGCAAATTAGTTCCATACACCCGAAGAAACATTTCGGGAGCTCATGAGCTCATATAAAGTTCTTAAAAATCGGGATAGTAAAGCAACAGAATCCCTCATAACCTGAATAATTAAAGAAAATTGACTGACTTTCGATGTTCTCTAAAAACGTATCTTTTCAGATTTAAATTTACTAAAATGAGTTACTTTCATATACCACCTGATTATTTTACAATCGTTTGGAAAATGCTTCCATTCAAAACTCGTTAAAATAACCAAATAATAATGTTGTAATAAAACATGATCTTTTAGATCTACGAAAGGAAATTTAAGAAATTTTATCGCATATCTATAAAAGGAGATATAAAAACGAAACAACACCTTTTTTTACCGTTTATTACAGTTTTACCCATTTAATAACTACTCGTTTCAAATTTAATGCTTAGTAAGAATTTCTTTATTTTTAAATAAACTGCTTTACTGTTAAAAGAAGTTGTTTTATTTCCAAGTTTGTTGAGCTATTTCTGAACTAGAAATGATTGTATTTATTAGTTTTTGTTGAATATATAATTAGGTTGTTTACTGTAATTCCCATAAGAAATTTACTTTATTGGAATGCTAACATTTGATTCCCAAATACCATATTCAGCAAGTATTTTCGTATTTTTAATAAAACTTTTTTAAGAAAAAATTAATTTGCTTTGAAAAGACAAAAGAAAATTAAAATTTTATTTATTCAATTATAAGTGTTTTAATCACTTATTTAATATTTAAATTTTTTAAGGTATATGTTATGGGTTTTTATACGTAACCTATAACAGTTTACAAATATTTGTTTTAACCAAACATTCACCACAAGAAATTTACACAATTATCGATGTACTTTTTTCGGATAATTACTATTATTTCTATAATCATTTGGATGATACCTGATAAGTAAATTCCTTTGTAGAAATTAGTGTTTCATACATACTCTTTGTTTTCACGAAATTGATAAGTTATTCCTGTATTTTATTATCACTTGGTACAATCAATTGTTTAATTAAATCTCTTCATAAAGATTTAGTGATATAGATCTATGAAAAGTTTAAAAAAGTACAATTGCAGTTACTTCTTAAACAAAATCAACAAACCAATCAACAAATAATCAACGATATTTTAGAATTTCAGCAATTAAATTGAATTTTTTAAGAAATTAGGAGGCTCCGTTTAACAACCTATGTCTTGCAATCTTCCCAGTTTTTTCCTTAAAAATCAATATTTTCTGAACAATAAGGAAAATTCTATTAAAGTATATAGTTATTTTAGTTTATGCAGAAACATTTTTCTTAATATGTTAATCGTAACTAAATAAATGATTACCTGGATTTGAAAACTAATCAACTGTACTTCAAATTAACCCGAAAATTAATATAACAGTTCAAGTAAGAAAAAATTTCTACTTCTCGTGAATAATTTTTACTAAGTCTTAAGAAATAACACCTTGTATTATCTAACTTCTTTCTTTTCTTCTTGATAGTCTCGGCATCAATTCAAGAGCAAGTTTTAAAAACATAGATCTCGAGAGGCGTCAATAATTTTTCTATAAAAACTGATAATTTGTTTTTAGTTTTCTAAAAAAAATCAGGAACTATGATTTGAATTTGAAATAACTTTTTTTTTAAAAAATAGAATACTGAAAAAAGGAAAAACTGGTTTTTAGAACGTAAATAAAAAATAGTCTCTACCGCATGTTAAATTACAACATTTCTTCAGAATACAGGGATGAATAATTTTCATTACGATTAATAATTTTTATTACGATTAAATAATTTTTGAATTAATTTTCGATTTATTTTTTTTTGACTTCATTGGTACTTCTTGTAAAGTTTTTTTCAAAATCCGTAATTTTTTTAGTCTTATGATTTTTGTGCAACAAAACAGCGTGTAAAAAAAGTTAAGAAAAGCAAAAAAAAAATCATAAATTTGTGATCGGTTTCAAAATATTTAGAATTTCAACGGGAAAGAAAAAGTTTTAAAATGGGAAATAATGTTGAACAAATAAAATAACAGCGCAAGCAAATAAAATTCTTTATTAGGAAATATATGCTACAATCATTAATATAAAGAAGGTTAGTATAAATTTTCACATATATTGAAATGTCATTTATTTGTTCATCACAGATAATTAAATAAAACCCTAATTTTAAATTAGAATTACATTTAATTATCTGTAATATTAGGAAACTAGTTCTTTTTTTCACTAGAAAAAATGAGCTCCAAAATGTCGTAAGTTTTGGTGATCAACAAATAAAAATGTCTTGGAATCTTCTAACGGAAATAATATTTTTTTATTTCCATTCACTTTTGTGTGTTCAGAATATTCACTGATTTGACTACTGCAGCTGTAAAACAGCGATAAAATCTTTTTATTGTTATAATTACTTGGATAAATATATGATGTCCTACAAAAAGAGGATCTGTAGACAGTATTTCACACCTTTCCCTAAGTATCCAGGACAACATGAACTCTCTCGTACTTTTCCTCGGAGTCACCCTTTTAGCTTTATGTAAGTGTCTTAAGTTAACATCGAATAGAATTTCTGAGTTAACAAACAGGAATGAAAATATTATAAACAAAACGAGCTCCAATGATCTGTCTATAAAAATTTTAAAAAATGTTTAGCTATTAGTTTCGGAATTATCGACATTTACAATTAAAAAGTTATAATTATTTCTAATTAATATCGCTGGGGTAAATTTTGAGATAAATTATTATTTAATGATCTTTTTAAAGGATCATTTTGTGTAAATAATTAACATTAGAATACGAATCTGATTTATAGTTGCAAAATTTCTATTAAGATCTAATGAGAGATAGAAGAATTACTAATTTTTTTCTATTTTGAAGCTAAAGTAAAATAAAAATTATATTTATTTGAAATACATTAAAACTTCAATTTATTCTAAAGCCGTGTTGGTTAAATTTTGTTGACCGAATTTCAAGAAAAGCAAAAAAAAAAAAAAAAATAGTAGCAATAATGTTACGCTTATATTGATACAGATAGTTTCAATGACGATTACATATATCTTAGAATTTGTTGAGTTTTAAATATATTTTACTGCATGAAAATTCCTAAGTAAAGTTTATATTTTTTAAACTTCAAATCGTCCTTTATACTCCAAAGTTTAATGACGACCATGTTAAAGCAAATTCAGTCTGATTAAGGGTTTCTTTAGTCAATATTTATTTAGCCTAATAACAGATAAGCTGCAATAAACCTAAAAATATCAGATTAAAAAATAAAGCAAAAAACCTTTCCAATTAGCTTTGCGCATTGCAAAATGCTCGTGGCTTTTCCAAAAGTCATGTCTTTTAATTGGCCCATGAATTATACACAGATAAACGGTGCATCTATTTAAGAATTAGTTTTTTGCAGAAAGTACCAAATATATAAATGGTATGATCCAAATTGTTCCGATTATTTAACTGTCGAAATTTGTACGTTCAAATTGCAATTTTTAAAAGTAATAAAAACAACCATAATTGCATCATGCGCTGAAGAATATTATCTATGTATAATAAGCTGCAAAAGGATCACTAACTCAACCAGTTGTGTGCTATACCTTAGTTGGCATGATATACATTTTTATGTATGATTGTATGAGCAAAACTTTTGTTATGGAAAGGAAAAATATGATACATTAAATCTTAAACCGTGATTTCCTTAAAAAACATATTTATAATTGATCAATTTATTTTATTTTTAAGAAAATCTTCATAATTACTTCTAGGTGAAGCTCGTCCAACTGGTAAGTAATATTTCATTTTGATAAAATGGCATTTGATATTAAGCATTAATGCCTTAATAGTCTGTTCATATTATAGAGACATATAACAATTTTTTTATGAAATAAATTCTGATGAAAATAATATTAAACGCTTTAAAATCTGGCAATGGAGAAATATTTGACAAATGAATTCAAAATCTTTTTTCTGGTCTGGAAACTGAATTCTTTCGTTTCAAGTTCTTTCGTTTCAAAGATTCAAATCACAACAGGAGATCAAAAAATCTTAGTAAATCAGGTAATAATGCATATTTCTTCAGTTTATTGAAAAGTCACATAATCTATAAGTAAATGAGCTCACTCTTTATTTTCACTCTTGAAGTGAGAGCTTGTAATTAAATTAGATTTCTGAACTTCTTCTAATTTCGGAATTATGTGCTAAGTTGGATAATATTCTTTGTTTCTTGTTTTGTTCAGTTACTGGCATCACTTTTCTTATGCATGATTCTCATTTATATATCTATTTAATAATTTTTCTCAGTATAGGAATTCCAATTTCCGAATTACTTCAGCAAATAACAATGAGACAGGGAATTTTAAACCAACATTCTTTTCAAATAAAGGATTCTCCTTGTCGTTAAAAGGAAAAAAAATCTAGCTGTTATTTTGTGTCTTTGCAACTCCTTACAAGGCTTCTACTGAAAAAACTTTGTCTTTATATATCATCAGATTATTGACAGCTCAATGAAAGTCTCAAAATTTTAGTAAATGAAATATAGGCGTTGTTATTTGTGTAAAATGGCTCACCAAATGTAAATTAAAATTTGAAAGTTGCTTGCGGCAAATGCTAATATCTCCAACGAGCTTGTATTTAAACCAATGCTTGTATATGATGAAACATGGCATTTCGCTGACACCGATGCCTTTAGATGATCCAATTAACGTAACAAAATATTTTATATTCAGCTAAAAATGCTATTTTGTTCTTTTATTTCTAAGTTAAATACTCCAAACAGAAGAGTTCAAACATAAATGTATAAATATAGTTTCTTATCGTTTCTTCATTCTAAGTTAAACATTCGGTTACTTTTCTTTAGCTATAACTATGAATAAGGATTATTCCTGCGGAATATTATAATTATTATAATCAATTTCCTTAAGTAAAATACATAAACTGATATCCTTATTCAATACGATATATTTTTTCTTGATTTTTTTCTATTTTTACAGTACATAAAGTCAGTAAGTAAAATTTAAACTATTCTTTATTCTGTTACAGTTCAATTATTGTATACAATAAATAGTTCCTTTAAAAAAAATTAAAGTACAAGTTAATTAAAAATTTAAAGTACAACTTAAATAAAAACTAACTTGCATGTATTTTAGCATCTGTTAGAAACCTGAGGTACATAAAATTTAATAATTGTATTTTCCACTAATTAGGAAATATTACTAGATTCTTAAACTGAAAAGAGAATAAATAAGTTATGTGAATTGTAGAATTTTTTTTATTAAATTACTTGCGTAAGAAATTGTGAAAGATTATTACGGATAGAGATTCAGTAAAATTTGTATTTGTTCAACATTTAAATATTTAACTGCTTAGAAAATGTAAAAGCGTAACACATTCAATTCCTTAAATGTAAAAAGAAAACATTCTTAAATTCACCTTATGGCGTAATTCACGTTTGTTTTGTTGGATTCGTCTCATGTGGTTAAAATAAAACAGCGTAAGTTGAAATAAATTCAAAATTTGCTTGCTTAAACACCTGTTCAGTAGCATGTATAAAACCCACATTTTAAAAGGATTGCTTATATTTTATATTTTGTTAATGATTGTATTAACGGAAACAAATTTCTTATCTTTATAGCTTCAAAACTGATAACACACGGTAAGTAACTGCACATTCTCATTTTTATGATTTTCAATTTATTCAGTAGAAAAATTCCGCAAAATTTATTTATCGTTTCAAAGCATCATTTGTAACTAGTAATCAACAAAAAGCAAAAACGATTGTAATCATTCATAAAGACCATATGAGTAAATCATAAATTTTCTATCAAAATATTAATTGATTTAGACTATTATTTTTTTCTCAATGTTCTCGCAATGTAAGCTCGAATTTTTCAAGCACCAAATATTTTTTTGTTATAGTAAATTTCATACCAAAGCGAACAATTGGACTGGATTAATTGCTTTTAATTATTTATTTTGAATAATATTTAAAATTTTTATTAATGAATGCTAAAAATTTATACTACGGCTGCTTTCGCAAAAACCGTTGTGATATGTAGAATTATTCCGTAAATATTTTA